CATAATACTGTGATTGGAACTACCTGCTAAGAGTCTTAGGGGTCATTCGCAAATATCAAGATATTCACAGTTGCACAAACAGTATGCTAAGGGGAGAGGGTGGAGAAATTTGTACATTTTACATATGCATGATAATGTTGATTCATAACATGGAAAATATAAAATAAGTTTTTTTTTACCAATTATAATGCAACCATGGATATGATCAATTTTAAGTAACAAAGTATAGTACTTTTAGTTGATTTCACAAAAAACTGGAGAATGATTTTTGCAAAACCAACATTTTATATGTACAGTTTCAAAAGGGAGGGAGGGGGAAAGGAAAAGAGTACTGTTTGTACACTTGCGAAAATATTGATAATTGTGACAATTAAATACCTAGCTATATAAGCAGTTATTATGTAGACAGTCTTAATGCTATTAGCCTGCTGATATTAGATGCATCATAGTCCACAACAAAGAGGCATTATATGGTGACCTAGCACAGGCCCTCTTATCACAAATACTGCCCCACCATGACAAAAGGAAGTAATTGACAATTTTTCAAAAACGAGTTTTTTAGTCACTATCAAAGAACTAATAATTTGAAACATATTGATATATTTGAGTATGTTCAAATCCCACTCATTAACAAGTAATTACTGTAGCAACACAAATAGGAAGTAAGAGACTAAAAATACAGTAAAAACCACCAGAAAAGGAAGCAAGGGACAAAATCAACATGCTTTATATTCCTTAATTACTCAGAGCAATGCAAACATCATTGCTTCCTTTTGTCATAGTGGGGCAGAATACATGAAGTGGCCAGAGCTATGCTATTTAACTGTTTTATTAAAATTGATGCTTAAAGGTCACCTAATATTGTTCTTAAGTCTATGCTTAAACTTAAATATGATTTTAATTTGAAATACAAATTCCTTAATACTACATGTGTAGATATTTTTTTGGATAAACTAATTTATCCTTTGATTGTAAAACTTATAAATGGCGTCGCAGCGTGTTAGTACCCTTTTTTGACAGTGGAGAAATTGAATATTTAAAACATATCTTATTAAACTGAACAGCATTTCTTAATCAAATAAATTAATCCATTCCTAGGTGTCCTTCCTTCGAGAGTGTTGACTTGTGCTCTGGGGCGGATCTCGCCCGGGTGGTGTTTTGGGTGCAACTGTGCCAATGGTATGCAGGCGTCTGTGCCCTCGGTTGGTTTGATATTAGTTTAAATTTCATTAGTTTGTTTTTGAATATTTGCTGTCTTCCTTTTTTTTTTTAATTTTTAAATTGGAAATTTTAATGTTTGTGCATATTAATTAATATCAAAATTTTTAAATAATAATTGTAACTAATTAAAATAATAATAATACCAATAAAAGTTCTGTATTCTGTAAAGTGTCAACACTGCATAATCACAACACTGATGGATCTACAGTATGGGCTGCCAGCAGTGGCGTATCCAAGGTGGGCGTGGGGGGGCGCACACCCCCCCACAAAAAGCTTGCGTCTTCCCCCATTCGAAAACTTCGAGGCAAAAAAAATTAGGCTAGGCTTATGCTTATGCTTATCCTGTCACGGTTAACGTGTATTCGGGAATCTAAGAAGCAATATTTTTCAGTGGGCGTGGCCACGGAAAATAAATTCCATGCCCCCTCATATTTTGGTCGCGCCCCCCCCACCAGCCCCCCATTTTAATACTGCTAGATACGCCACTGACTGCCAGAAATCCTTCCAAGCATGCAAGGGTTGAAGTAATTTACGAATCGATGTTTGCCCTACCTCACATACATTATAGTACTGAAAGCCTAGTACATTCCCAAATGCTTGCGAAAAAAATTTAATCCAAATGTGATCTTCAGGTAACTAGTCTGCTGTCTACTCTTAGCATTCGATTACCGAACTTGTGCTTGGTTGCTAGTGATAAATCCGATCACCAAGTAACAGTGGGTACACTGCTGAATGCTATTCGAATGGCGTTTTGCATCAGGAGGAATAATACGAATCAATGTTTGCCTTAGTTGTTGGTCAACGTGTTACGATACTGAATGCTCAGAAAGCCTAAGTTCGCAAATGTTTGTGAGAAAATCTTGCAAGTGATTCAGGTGGGAATCAAACAAAGTGATTCTTATAATGCTTCCATCACAGCACTTTACAGTAAGCACTTATCATCCAAAGTTGTCACTCGGATGCATGCAACCTCAAATCTCATTAATATAATAACAAAATTATATCTACTGTATTGTTTATTAGGCCATGTAAAATAAAATAATTGGTTAGCATCCCCTCCCTACCATCAGAGAGGCCACCGACCGATTTTTGTTTTTTTTGACAAAACACTTACAAACTCAACTTAATATAGGTTTGTTTACCACCCGTCCGCACGCTAGCCAGACCACTTGTAGTTCTATGCTGTAGCCACATGGCATTCATGATGCCAGTTGTGTTGGAGTGAATTGTGTGTGATTATATAGTCTGAGATAATTGCATTATGACTGTTATTTTAGGGAGATGTAAAAGAATAACATCTCCCTGGTTATTCATCGTAAAGTTTCTGCTTGCTATTAATGAATTATATAATTACTTGTATGCAGTTTTGGTCTCTGTTGCTATTTTCTTTTTCTTTTTTTTCGCTGGATAAGGATGGTAACCATTTTTTTTTTTAACATGGCCTTATTGTTAATGATGATAAAGATATGTTGTTGGTGGGCTTTCATAAGGTCAGGTGTTTGAAAGTTTACTGTGCATACTGTATCACTTGTGTCTTTGGACAAGGCTCCCTCCCCCACCCAATATCATAAATGGGTACCTGGAAGTTAATACCTCCTTGCTGGAAGGATGTTGTGGCATTATTAATGAATTAGTCTTTGTACACACAATTACACCACAACAAGGTATATTTGCAAATTCACTGAACAACAGTGAAAATGCTCTACGTTTCATAATGCCATCACTTGTATACCATTCATATAGCACAAATATCCATTTTCAAGGAACTGCCCAATGCGTTTGTATACCGTTTCACTTATATACAGTAATAGGCAATACCTGTACAGTATTATTATAATAATAATAGGCAGCTTTAAAAACTCACCCTTTTAATGTGTATTTTCTTAAATTTTTTCTCCTGGCATTTTCATTTTTATTGTTAATAAGCGCATTGAGGCTTTTAGCATAATGCGTTACAGTATACAAGCCAAAGTTATTATTATTACTATATTATTATAATTATTATTATTATTATTATTAAAGAAAAAACAAAAGTTTCAACAGTCATTTTGATATAGACTCTTTATTACTATTTTGTGTAACTCGCACATACATGATGCAACACTCTGACAACATTGTCTAATGAGTAACGTAGAATAACATAGTATAATTAATGTCAAAACTGAGCATTTGCAGAACTACTCTGCTGCTTGTATATTACTTTAAACAGGCATAAATGAATATTGTCCTGGAATAACAAGTAACAGTACAATATTTACTGTGACTTTATTTTTATGAGAATTTAAATCAAATTGTACCGTGTATTTTAGTTATTATAGACGGCTTAATATTTCAATGTCATTTAATAGTTAAAAATTTTAACATTGTTTGCATTGTAGTTTGCTACTGCTACTCTTCTTGGTCTATTGGAGATTACACTGATTCCTGCTGGGACATTTAATCCATCATCTTCATGATCTATTCGTTTAATAAAGACACCATTTTTATCAAATAATTGTAGTTTATGATTACTTGACACTATTATATTTTCATCCATATCCATGGTTACACCACAAGGAGCCCAAACTTTACCATCTTCCTTTAAACCACAGCCTACAAGGGTTCGCATAAACTTATCATTTGCATCAAACATTTGTATTCTACTATTGTCGAAGTCAGTAATGATCATATGACCTTCCTTGGTTAAAGTAACATCAATTGGTTCATTCATCTGACCTACTTCACTACCCTCTGAACCTATCTTACCTAGTAGTCTACCATCATCAACATTGAATTTAAACACACAGTGAGCCTCCCTATCTGCTACATACAGGACTCTAGTTTTTTTGTTTACTGTCAATTCCATTGGATATTTCAATATTCCTTTACCAAATGAGATGATTTCTTTAAATTTATCATCACACATTACAACACATTTTCCTAAGATATCACTGTACACCATATGACCATCACACATTAGATGCATTCTATAGACCTTCACATCTTGGGGCACCTGTATCTTAGCAACAAAAGAACCTGATTGGTTGAACTTTAATATATCTTTACTGGAGCTTGATACTAATAAGCATCCATCTGTGTCTAACACTACATCTGTCACTTTATTTCCTTTCATATGTTCTTTATAATCTGATATGTTACCAATGGTATGTACAAGTCCCAGTGATTCCACCTTGATATTCACTGGAGATCCTTTGATGTGCGCCTCTCCTGCAATAATCTTCATTTGCCAGTCACCTTCCACATTGCATCTGCCTGTTATTTTGTACTCTCCATTTCCTTGATATTCTACTTCAGTGGCTGATTTTTCATGTGATGAGTTGCTTAGAGTTGCAGATAATTTACATGCATCGCTCTCACTTAAGCTTGATACGGTTACTACAAATGTTTGTCCTTTTGTGACGGTAATTGCTTCATCATCTTGATCAACCTTGTACATTCCATCAACAGTTGTGATTTTACCAATGCATTCAGTATTCATTACCACATCCAAGAGTGTAGATGGAATAAAAGTTGGTGTAATATTTTTTTTATAAAATGATTTATCAAAATCATTTCCTAGGACCTCATCTCTGACAGTGTTGATAGTTGTCTTATGGGATTTAAGAGTTCCAGTTTCTTGTGGTTTGTTCATCATTGTACTGATTGAGGCCATCACATTATTAACTTTAGTCACCTTTGTATCAATATTCTTAACTTGTTTATCAACAACGTCTTTCTTTTCTTTGTATATTTCTTCAAGGTCTGAAATTAATTTTTTGCCTTTTTCTTTTATTTTATTAATAAGTGCCTTCTCCTTCACTTCAATAGCTTGCTTGCATAATTTTAGGTGATGTTCAAAGTCAAATCTGTCATTATTAATAACATCAAGTGTTCCTTTCAATTTGATTTGAATGCCTTGAGCTATATTCATAACCTCAGTAGCATTTTGGTTAAACTCATGGACAGCAGTTTTCATTGGTATCACATTATGATTATTTTGATAGCAACGAATTACATGCTTACAATCCTCACATGCTGATTTCTTGCATGTTGAGCAGTAAAATTCCAGTAAATTTTTCCCATGACTTGGACAAGATATTTGTTCATCTTTGCTGCCTTCTAATGTGTACGATGATTTGCCAGCAGCCATCTGTGAAGAATTAGAAGTTGAAGTACTGTACTCTTAATTTCATATGGCATTATGGGACCTTTTGAATGTTGGAGCCTATTGTGTCTTACATGGTCAAATTGACAAATGCCAACAGTACTGTTTGTTGACATTTTATAGAGGGTACAATTTACTGTCCACTTTAAAAAAGAATGTTTTATTTAGCTTTTCTTGCAAGATAGGATGACTAAATTAGGGCCATGTTGTGTTGCTCTCTGCGTCATACAAATTACCGTCAACAGCCGTCATCAACCGTCAACATCGCTTATTGACAGTTGTTGACAGTAATTAGTATGTCAACAACACTTATTGATGGTTGTTGATGGTAATTAATATGCGTGTACATTAATAGCTAATTACCATCAACAACTGTCAACAATGCTTGTTGACGGTATTTTAGTATTGTGTACGGTAAAATACTATTTACCGTCAAGAACTGTCATACAATTAGCGTCCTGTGATATACACAGGGCATATGCAAATAGATTAATTATAATATTTATAAATAAATAACAACAATAATAATCAATAATAATACTGTAGTAATAATAACAATAATAATAATAAATGATTATATATATTTATATATATATATATATATATATATATAATAATTATAAAATAATACAGTAAAAAATTATTTTTTTTCATTGTTATAACATTATATATTCATAGGCATATCGTATATTTTGTTTACAAGTTGGTAATCTTTAGATAATTTATCATACATATTGTACGCCCTGGCGGCTTTTGTTTTGGCAGCTTTTGGTTTTACACTATTGAATTTGGCATTGCTAT